AACAAAGATCGAATAATTTCACTTAGCTTGGGTCATGATCATCCCTATAATTCATATCCAGCACTATTCAAGATCGATTCATCATTTAGTCGACTTGAGTCACTAGTGTTAGATTATATTGAATTAAACCAACTCATACCTCTTCTTACAAGTTTAGTTTCTCTACCTCATCTATTCTCATTGATTATCTATTACAATGATGATCTCAAAGAGATTAGCAACATTTATCAAATGATTTTTAATTTATCTATGTTGAAGTATAATAAATTATCATTTTTAGCACTTGAATCGTGTATTCCTATATCAATAGCAAATAATGAACAATACAGTGGTATTAAATATCTCGTTATTGATCATTGTTGTAGTCTTGATGACTTAATTGCTATACTTTCATATACATCTCAACTCTGTCGTTTAACTTGTTATCAATTGGAGGAATCAAAGAAAAAAATCGTAAAAGATGCACTCAATTCAATACTTAGTCTGACTTGTATTTCAATTGCAGAATGCTCTACAAAATTTGATGAAATAGAAATGTTTCTCACCAATGTTTCATCTCAATTAGAAGTATTGCGTATTAATACTTTAAAAGATGTGAATTATTTGGATGCTAATCGATGGGAACGAATTATTTCACAACATCTACATCATTTAAATATATTCGAGTTTAAATATGAAGAACTTGCTCGTGAAGGCCTCGAAGTAACTGTTTATCATGAAAGACTTAATGAATTCAACTCTTTATTTTGGATAAAACGAAAATGGTTCTTTAGGATTTATATTGATACACGTTTTCATGACGATAACATGATGATCTATTCCATTTATCCATACAGGTTTATTGAAAAGAACCATTTTTGTAAAACAACTATTTGTCTCTGTTTTTTTTTTGTAGGGAAACTCACAGCAATTTTCATAAAGATAAGAAAAATGATGAAAGTCTGAGTAATGATATTAGTCAAAATCTGATACAACATGGTATCATTCTCAATGATAATGTAGAGTTCGGCACATCTATGATGTTCTATACAACTAATCGGTTAACCGTCATCGATTTCACCCATTCACAATTTGTTGTACATTTTTTTGGTAAATTGGATCCCATTTTAACTAGATTAAAAATTACATATTTAGATATTATTCTCCGGAAGGTTTTCATCGGCACGTTAATTAACTTGATCAAATTTTTACCTAATCTTGATTCAATAGTAATATCATCTGTATCAACGATAGAACCAAAAGGTTTATCTGTTGAAGAAATAAAAGTTCTTCGATTGTTATCAAATAATAACAATATTAGTAAAGTCAATGTTCAGGGAATCAGTGACTTGGCACAAATTCAATTCCTTCTTGATCTCTGTCCTCGTATAAAATATTTTGAAGTGGATTGTAGACATGGTCTCTATCCCGAAAATATTGTACGATTTATATTAATGAAGAATTTCAAATATATTCCAAACCTATCTAAAATTTGTCTTAAAATTTCACAAACAAATATCGACATTGTCGACAAATTGAAAAACATAATTGACTTTGAACAATTGTATCAGAATTATACAATCAAACAAATAGACAATAAAATTTATTTACAATTGAACTTATGATAATTGAATTCTTGTATAAAGTTTTTAATTAAATTGATATTTCACTTCTAGAAAGAATTTCATAGTCATGTGGTATTCGAGCCATTGTATAAAACAAACAGTTAATTAAGCACTGAGAAGAATTTAATGGCAGGTTTGAGTTTTCTCGTTTTATGACATTAGTTTGTTTCAACAAACTTTCGTAATTTCGAAAATGTTTATAGATGTTTGTATCGAGTCTAAAATTGATCTAGATGGTGTGGGTGTTGACTCCTTATTCATTCGAATCATCATTTCTAAAACACTAGTAGTGATTCACTTCTATGATGCCCTATCATTTTTCTAAAATGAATAATGATTATACGCTTAACTGGTTGAACATAAACTTTTCGACCAATCGCTTAACTATTAGATCGTGGCTTATCAAAGAAAGAACAAATTGTTGGCAACATGAAAAATATTTCTGTTGACGAAATGGAATGATACTATTTTAGACTGGTTTTTTTTATTGCATCTTCGAAATGCTCAATTAAACGACCAAGCAATACGAAAAGTATGAAATTTTATTAATTGTAAAAAACCTACATGATAATTACTCGCTTATATGCATATTGTATTAAGATTTATTTAGAATATGACAAGTACTGATCGATATTATGTAAAGTTCAAGTTTTATTCTTATTATAAAATAATTGTTATCGCTTATTGATTATGTGATATCATGACAACAACCTGTTCCTATCTATAGCGTGCTAACATATCAATGTTGGAAGTTTCCAAGTTTTCTTTCTTTTCTCCATCTAGGAATTTTCCAACTGAGTATCATGCGAATATATATTGATAACACATCACCATCATCTCACTAACATTCCATTTATTCTATTTTTTCTTTGAGTGAACTAAATCTTTCAATTCGTAGATTCCGTATTCACTATCGAATTCAACCAGAAGACACGACAAATTAATTATTCATATGATAAAAATGATTAATGAACAAAATCCATCACAAGTGATTGACACTTTTCTTTAATTAGTTATGCAACTACTTGCTTAATGTGAGTTGATAATTCCGAGACACGGTAATAATCTATTAGATTATACAATATTGTGAATAAACTGTTTTTAATGAATAATAATTAATGAAATTAAAAATAGAAAAAAACGGATACTATTTAAAACAATATAGAATTTTTTTATTTTTAATAATTACGTTATATGTTTTTCCAACTATCGAATGACTCAACAAGCATTTTATTCTGCATACTTGGAAAAAAAGCGTTGTAAATGAATCATTGTTAATATACGATAATAAAACGATGAAGAAAAAGAAAAAGGAAGAGAATCGATGCTTCATTCTGAATTATGTCAAATAAGCAAATGCACGCATAGATTCTCTTCCCTTTTTTTTTACATATGAAACTGTTTTGGAAAACTTAGCAAAATCAGACAATGATAAATGATTATTATTTCTTTATAGATAATAAGTTTGTTAGAAATGGAAATAGTCATTCAATTATATATAATTAAGAATTATTTCAGATAAAAGTTTACTCTCGCACACATGTTTCAATTTAAACGACGATTGCATAATAATAAGTCTTTTGAAGAGCAAATAAAGAAATCTCGAAGTAAGTTATACATATTCACGTCATTTTATGATATATTTTTATTTATTTCTATTTAAATAGCAACGTATGATGACAAGTAGGAAGAATGATAAATATCTTTTAACTTGATTTATTTTTTCTTCATTTTTATAGTAAAATTATTAGTTATTTTGAAAATCTATCAAATGAACTTTTCTATGAAATCTTCGATTATCTTGATGGCTATGAAATATATAAAGCATTTTCAAATCTTAATACTCGTTTCAAAGTTCTACTCACTTCTTCATCTCTTCGATTAAAAATTGATCTTCGTTATCAGGAAGAAACTATCTTACAATATTGTTCAACCTATGTTGTTGTTCCAAACAAAGATCGAATCATTTCACTTAGGTCACCCAACCATGATGACTATAATTCAGGTTTTACACTATTTAATATCGATTCATCATTTAGTAGGCTTGAGTCACTGGTATTAAGTTATATTAAATCAAATCAACTCATACCTCTTCTTATAAGTTTGATCACTCTACCTCGTCTATTTTCATTGATTATCTACTACAATGATGATCTCGAAGAGATTAACAATATCTATCAAATCATTTTCAATTTACCCATGTTAAACTACAGTAAATTATCATTTGTCTCCTTTAATTCATTTATTCCTCTATCAATAGCAACAAACAAGTCATTTAGTAGTATTAAATATCTCGTTATTGATCATTGTTGTACTCTCGATGAATTAATTGCTATGCTTTCATTCACACCTCAACTCAGTCGGCTAACTTGTAAAGAAGTCAATGAATCAAAAAAAACTATCGTAAAAGAGGCACTCAACGTAATATTCAATCTGACTCGTATTTCCATTGCTGAGTGTTATGCAGAATTTGATAAAATAGAAATGTTTCTCACTAATGTGTCACCTCAATTAGAAGTATTACGTATTGATACTTTCAGAGATGTGACTTATTTGGATGCTAATCGATGGGAACGAATTATTTCACGACATTTACTTCATTTAAACATATTTGAGTTTAAATACGAAGAACTTATTGATGAAGATTTGGAGACAACTATTTATCATGAAAGACTTAATGAATTCAAATCGTTATTTTGGATGAACCGAAGATGGCTTTTTAGAATTTATATTGACACAAACTATTTGGAGGATAATGTCATTATCTATTCCATTTCTCCACACATGTTTATTGAAAAGAATCATTTTTGTAAAACAAATTTTTGTCTGTGTTTTTTTAGACCAATACAAGGCAACTCTTATAAAGATAATGAAGGTGCTGAAAGTTTCATTAATGAGATTGGTCAAAATATGGTAGAACACAGTATCGTTCCCAATAAACAAGAATTGATCACTTCTTCTAAAATTTTTTCTGAAATGAATCAATTAACCGTTATGGATCTATGTATTACTGAATCTTATGAAACTCTATTTGACTGGATGAGCCCCATTTTAACTAGAATAGAAATTACCTGTTTGAAAATTACGGTCAGTGAGATTTTCACTGACACATTGATTGATATAATTAGATGTTTACCTAATCTTTATTCATTAATGATTTCATCTTTAAGAATGGTGCAACCTAGATATTTATTTGTTGAAGAAACAACAACTTTTCGTTTATTATCAAATAACAACAAAATTACTGAAGTCAATCTTCAGCGAATAAATAACTTACCACAAATTCAGTTTCTTCTGGATCTATGTCCTCGTATGATATATTTCGAGGTGGATTGTACACATGGTATGTTACCTGAAAGAATTGTACAATTTATTTTAATGAAAAAGACCGCATATATCCCAAATCTATCTTTAATTTGTCTTAATATTTCACAAAGCAACATGGGAATCATCAATAAATTGAAATACACAATTGACTCTGAACAACTATGTCATAGCTATACCATCAAACAAATAGACAATAAAATTCATTTACGATTGAAGTTATGGTAATCTGGTTCTTTTATAACGTTGTTAATAAAATTCATATATCAGATGTAGAAAGATGTTTATAGTCAATGTATCAAAACGAATAATTAATTAAGTACTTAGAAGAATTTAGTGGTAGATTCGAGTTTTTTCGTTTAATATTTTGTCCTCTAGAGTGTACCATGTCAGGTTACGACTGTACTTTGTACAGAATCAAATGTGAAATAAAATGACATCATTTTAGAAGACTTTCAACATAAAACTTAAAAAGAAAAGCTTCAAAAACACCTTTGTTGACATTGAATTTTCCAAAGAAATCTTGTAATTTTCCAAACTATTCGTCTAAGTTTTAGTATGAAATCTAAAATTCGTCGTGGCTTGCATAACTAGACGAACTCCATCGAATGGCATATGATTCTTGTGATTCATTTCATGATAAACCTAGAGCGGAATTTGATAAACATACGTAGGTGGTATGAGCTCTATATTCGAGTATTTCTATTAAGTATTCCGTACTTAGCTTGTGCCAAATAATACCAAATGAGCAATAGATTTCTTTCAATTATGAAATATGACTGTTGCTATATGAAAATTCATACTTATACCCTTAATTTTTTCTTAGTTTTTGTGTGAGTCATATCAAACCTTCACTATCGATCGTCTTTGATACCTAACATTTAATCGAATGTATGTACAAAAACCAGAAGCTGCACTGTTTAAAATACTCAAAAACATATTCGGCTATTGGAATGTCAAGAAAACCTTTGAAATATTTTTATACCATCTAAGTCTTACTGTTAGCACTGTTCAGTGCTTTTCTCTTCTTTGCTAGAGAACTATAGAAAAGGAGTTAGATACCTGTTTCACTTGGTTTCTGTGGAGTCTTATTCACTTGTTTTTGACTCGTATTGTAAAAGTCTATTGTGAGCATCTTTGCCAGTGTTGCAACGATTATCAGCGGCATTAAAATCATTGATCGATATCCTTACCACCATGTTTTAACCCAGATTTCTATAGACGTGGATGTAGAACTAGAAAACCTCGCTATTTTTAACCTTGAGTAAAAATTTTCATCTTACGCTTTTTGAAAACATGAATATTTTTTTAAAACAGTCCGAAGAGAATGTATCAAAACAGTGCTTTTTCGAAGTTGTTTTAGGGTAGTAGCTTCTGTTTAAAACTATATAAGTGTGTATTTTTCATAATTGCATCAAAGATTTTCCAACTATCAAGTCAGGGGAACAAAAGAATAATCATGATAATATGTCTTGTCTAGTCTTTTTGTCAAAAAGTCCTATTACATGAGTAATAGTTCGAAATCATTTATCGTGTACAGCTCACGTCCTAACTGTTTAATCGTCCATCATCAGTCTATTTGTTATGTCTCGTCTTTTTGAGAAACAGACTAGCCATGTAATGTCCACCTGACACCCGTTCAAAAACGATTTTAAATAAAAAAGCAACGAAGAACATTCACGATGTTACATTGTAGCCTCATGTACTGATCAAGTTTGGACTAGTCTAAATTAGAAAAGTATAAGAAAGAAGGTTAGATTCAATCATGTATATAATATGTCACTTACCAATCACCTAATCGATTGAACTATACGATCAAGTGATCAATTCCCATACGTCAATAAACTAAGATGCTATTTAATACAATTGCACAGTTCTTCAAACTTTACCATGAACAAAAATTTTTATCATAGAATACCAAATTAGTTAAATAAAATAGAATATGACTAATTTAAAATTGTTTTTATTTTTCTAAAACAATTTTTTTCTCATCATCAACATCGAAGAAAATTATTTTATATTGAAGAAAAACAACTTTAAACAAAAAATAATATAAAATAAAAAATGATTGAAGTTTGTTTTAATGTTCAATTTTTGAAATTTAAACTGAAATTATGTAATTTATTCTGCAATCTAATAAATACTAAATATTATTAAAAGACAATTTTCCTTGAGAACTAATCAGAATTCTTAGTATTGTCATGTACGTCTTTGTACTTCAATATAATTTTGTATTTTTAGTAAGCAATTCTTCTATTATTTTCAATTACATATTGAATGAACAAGCGACACTCTGCTATTTAGACTGCTTAAGATGACATCTGTCTCTCGTCAAATTGTAATTTTCCATCAGAAGACTCATCTGATGTCCAATACTGTCGGATCAAATGTTTGGGCCCGCTTTTCTATTCTCCTGACTAGACATGATGGATGAAAGGATGTTTTGACCTAGTCCGAACATAGTTGAAGGATACTCCTTGAAAAGTCGACCATTCCTGATGGATATGTAAGACGCCTCAGACTAAATCTCACAGGCAGTGTGGACACTTTAGATCAGTACTATTGCGCATTCACACTTATTTTTTGCTTATTTGGGCGAATGAGTCAACAAAGATTTTGCGTTGCATACTCAAAAAAAAGTATTGTAAATGAGTCATTGCAAATAATCGGTAGAAAAAGAAAGAGCATGCGAATCTATGCTTCAATAATAGCTATGTCATGTAAACGACACAAGCATACGCTCACTTGTTTTTTCTTTTTCGTAAAATTAAAAGTATTTTGAAAAGCTTACTAAAATCACATAATCAAACATGATTATTATTTCTGTATAGAAAACAATATGGTATAATTGAAAATAATTATCCGATTATATAGAATTAAAAATTCTTTCAGATAAACACATATGTTTCAATCTAAACGACGATTACATGATAATAAGCCTTTTGAAGAACGAATAAAGAAATCTCGAAGTAAGTTATACATATTCACGTCATTTTATGATATATTTTTATTTATTTTTATTTAAATAGTAACCTATGATGACAAGTAGGAAGAATAATACATACCTTTTAACTCGATTTATTTTTTCTTCATTTTTATAGAAAAATTATTAGTTATTTTGAAAATTTATCAAATGAACTTTTCTATGAAATTTTTGATTATCTTGAAGGTTGTGATTTATTTCAAGCATTTTCAAATCTTAATAGTCGATTTCAAGTTCTACTCATTTCTTCATGTCTTCGATTAAAAATTGATCTTCGTTTGAATAAAGAAGCTTTCCTAAAATATTATTCTACCTGCGTTGTAGCTTCGAACAAAGATCGAATCATTTCACTGAGCTTGGGCAATTATCATCAATATAATTCAGGTTTTACGCTAGTCAAGATCGATTCATCATTTAGTCAACTTGAATCACTAGTATTACACAATATCATATCAAACGCACTCATACCTCTTCTTATAAGTTTGATCACTCTACCTCGTCTATTCTCATTGACTATTTATTATAATGATGATCCCAAAGAGATTAGTAATATATATCAAATCATTTTCAAATTATCCATGTTAAAATACAATAGATTGTCATTTTTCGCGCTTAAATCTTTTATTCCTATATCAATAACAACTAACGTACAATACACTGGTATTAAATATCTCTTTGTTGATCATTGCTGTAGTCTTGATGAATTAATTAATATGATTTCATATACGCCTAAACTCTGTCGTTTAACTTGTCAACAAGTGAATGAATCGAAGAAAAAAATAATAAAAGATACACTTAAAATGATATTCAGTCTGACTCGTATTTCTATTATTAAGTGTTACGTGGAATTTGATAAACTAGAAATATTTCTCGCTAAGGTATCACCTCAATTACAAGTGTTACGTATTAATGTTTTCGAAGATGTGACTTATTTGGATGCTAATCGATGGGAACAAATAATTTCACAATATTTACTTCATTTAAATATATTCGAGTTTAAATACGAAGAATCTGCTCGTGAAAGCCTCAGAGAAACTGTTTACCATACAAGACTTAATGAATTCAACTCATTATTTTGGATTGAACGAAGATGGCTCTTTAGAATCTATATCAATACAAACTTTTGGGACACTAATACTATTGTCTATTCTATTTTTCCATACAGGTTTAATGGAAAGAATTATTTTTGTAAGACAATATTTTGTCTCTATTTTTTCTTTTTTGTAGGCAAACTCACAGCAACTTTCACAAAGATAAGGAAAACGATGAAACTTTCAATGATGATATCGATCAAAATATAATACAACATAGTATTATTCTCAATAATGATATGTATTCCGGTACGTCTATGATGCTTTATGCAACTAATCAATTAACTGTCATCGATCTCACATGTTTTCAATCTATTGTACATTTTTTTGATATGATCGGTCCCATTTTTACTACGTTACAAATTACTTGTTTGAATATTACGCATCAGAAAGTTTCCATTAGCACGTTAATCAATTTGATCAAATGTTTACCTGATCTTGATTCATTAGTTATATCATCTTTAGTAATAGTAGAACAAAGATGTTTATCTGTTGATGAAACAAGAACTTTTCATTTGTTATCAAATAACAATAGAATTACTAAAGTTAGTCTTCAGCAGATGAATGACTTCGAACAAATTCAATTTCTTCTTGATCTCTGTCCTCGTATGATATATTTCAAGGTGAATTGTACAAATGATTTCTGTCCCGAAAATGTTTTAAGATTTATTTTAATGAAAAGTATCAAATATATTCCAAACCTATCTAAAATTTGTCTTAAAATTTCACAAACAAATATCGACATTGTCAACCAATTGGAAAACATAATTGACTTTGAACAATTGTATCAGAACTATTCAATCAAAAAAGAAAATAATAAAATTTATTTACAATTGAACTTATAATAATTGCGTTCTTGTATACAGTTTTTAATGAAATTGATATTCTACAGATAGAAAGAACTTCATAATCACTTGTTATTCGAACCCATGTACAGCACAAAGAGTTAATTAAATATTTAGAAGGATATAACGATAGATTCAAGCTTTTTCGTTTAATATTTGGCCCATTAGTATTTACTATGTCAGGTCATGGGTACATCTTGTACAGAATCGAATACGTGATAGAATGATATCACTTTAGAAAAATAATGTACTACCATATCAATTTTGGAAATTTCTAAATTTTCTTTCTTTCTCTCGTCCAGGAATTTTCCAACTTAGCACTCTACCATATATTGACATAACACATCATCGTCAGCTTAGTTGTCAATTCGCTTATTCCGTATATTTTTGTTTGAATAAACCAAATCTTCCAATTCGTGAATTTCCTATTTATTGTCCAATATATGATAACAACATTTATTGTTCAGAAAAAACAAATAATGATTAATGAATAAAACTCGTTACATATGATTGACTGTTTTCTTCAATTGGTTATATAGCTATTTGCTTAATGCAATTTAATAACTATCTCCTATCGGATAGTTTAATATTTTCGAAGTCATAGTTTAAACTTAATTACCTCATTCAAACAAGAAATTTTTATTTAACTGCAATAATCTATTAGACTATATTATACAGTAAAAAAACAGAATATAAAATTACACCAGATGTCACTTAAAAATATATAAAATTGTTTATTTTAATTAATACTTCATACGTTTTTTTTCAATTGTCCCGTAGATCGATAATGATAGTATGTTGGATACTCGAAAAAAAAAAGGATGGCAAATGAGTCATTGCAAATATTCGATATAAAAAAGACGAAGAAAAAGAAAAAGAAAAAGCATGAGACTCGACACTTTACCCATAAACATGTCACATAAGCAAAACATGCATTGATTCTCTTATTTGTTTTTCTCATGTATAAAAGTATTTTGAAAATTCAACAAAATCAGACAATGACATATGATTATTATTTCTGTATAGAAAACGATATGATATAATTGAAAATAATTATCCGATTATATAGAATTAAAAATTCTTTCAGATAAACACATATGTTTCAATTTAAACGACGACTGCATAATAATAAGTGTTTGGAAGAAGAAACAAAGAAATTTCGAAGTAAGTTCTACATATTCATAACATTATATGATATATTTTTATTTATCTTTATTTAAATAGTAACGTATGATGACAAGTGAGAAGAATGATGAATACCTTTTAAATTAATTTATTTTTTCTTCACTTTTATAGAAAAATTATTAGTTCTTTCGAAAATTTATCAAATGAACTATTCTATGAAATTTTCGATTATCTTGATGGTTATGAAATATATAAAGCATTTTCAAATCTTAATAGTCGATTTCAAGTTCTACTCATTTCTTCATGTCTTCGATTAAAAATTGATCTTCGTTCTCTTTCAGAACCTCTCCAACAAAATTCTGCAATTGGTATTATCAATACGAACAAACATCAAATTATTTCACTTAATATGACTAACTTTGATCACTATGATTCAAGTCTTACACTATTTAACATCGATTCATCATTTAGTCGACTTGAATCATTAGTGTTAGATGATATGAAATCAAATCAACTCATACCTCTTCTTGTAAGTTTGATCTCTTTACCTCGTCTATTCTCATTGACTATCTATTATGATGATGATCTCAAAGACATTAGCAATATATATCAACTAGTTTTCAACTTACCAATGTTAAATTATTATAAATTATCATTTTTCTCATTTGAATCATTTATTCCTCTATCAATAGCAACCAGCAACCAATTTAGTAGTATTAAATATCTCGTTATTGATCATTGTTGTACTCTCGATGAATTAATTAATACAATTTCATATACGCCTCAACTCTGTCGACTAATTTGTCAACAATTAAATGAATCAGATGACAACATCGTAAAAGATTCACTTAAAATAATATTTAGTCTAACTCGTATTTCCATTGCTAGATGTTATGTAGTATTTGATGAACTAGAAACGTTTCTCACCAATGTATCACCTCAATTAGAAGTATTACGTATTCAAACTTTCAAAGATGTGAATTATTTAGATGCTGATCGATGGGAACGAATTATTTCACACTATTTACTTCATTTAAATATATTTGAGTTTAAATACGAAGAACTCATTGATGAAGAGTTGGAATCAACTGTCTATCATGAAAGACTTAATGAATTCAACTCGTTATTTTGGATAAAACGACAATGGTTATTTAAAATTTATATTGACACAAACTATTGGGATGATAATGTCATTATCTATGCCATTTCTTCACACAGGTTTATTGAAAAGAATCATTTTTGTCAAACAAATCTCTTCTCTGTTTTTTTCTAGAAAAACTCCAGACAATTCTCATAAAGATAAAGAAAATGATGAAAATTTCATTAATGAAATTGGTCAGAATATGATGCAACATAGTCTTATTTCCAATCAACAAGAGTCTGTTGTTTCTTCTATAGTGTTTTTTGAAATTAATCGATTAACTGTCATCGCTCTCTCATATTTTGAATCTGATGAATCTTTGTTTGATATGATGGGTCCGATTTTTACTACAATACACATAACCTGTTTGAATATTACATCCAGAAGAATTTTCATTGGCGCATTAATCGACCTGATCAAATGTTTACCTAATCTTGATTCATTAATAATATCATCTCTAGCAATGGTAGAGCCAAGATGTTTATCTAATGAAGAAACAAGAACTCTTCGCTTGTTGTCAAATAATAACAATATTAGTAAAGTTAATGTTCAACGAATAAGTGACTTAGCACAAATTCAATTTCTTATTGATCTCTGTCCTCGTATGAAATATTTTGAGGTGGATTGTACGAATGGTCTCTTTTCTGAAAACATTATACGATTTATTTTAATGAAAAATCCCAAGTATATTCCTTATCTATCTTTACTATGTCTTAGAATTTCACAAACAAATATGGACATCGTCGGCAAATTAAAAAGCATAATTGATTTTGAACAATTGTGTCCTAACTATATAATCAAACAAATAGACAA